AGCCAAATTTGTATAATTTTTTTTTTGTAGTTATTCCTTTCCTCATAAAAATATGTAGTATAATTTTTCTTCAGATTTAGAAGGTTTTAGAAAGGATAAATAATTTTTTTTTTTGGCTTAACTCAAATTTTGGATATATATAGGCAATTTTTGTAATATTTCCATCCATCCATTGGGAAACAAAATACAAAATAATAAGTTTGTAAAAAGCTCTGTCTGAAACCCTCAAAATACCTAGTATTAGGAAGTACCATTATATATTTTGCAGGAAGAAATTCCCAAAATCCATAAATTTTGGAAGAACCGTCATATACGGTCAATACTTAATAGTGGATTTATCTTCACAAAATTTAGCAGGGAGAGATTTTGTCCGCTCAGAATTCAAAATGTTGGAGGTAATATGAATGTCTGAGCAAAATTTCAGAGCGATAAAATGCTTCCCTGAATTAATCTTCGTTTTTGAGCATCTTACCCCACTGTGCGTTGCTTAGGACAATTGGAAATAATATTTTTTATGGAAACCCAAAATGTCAAATTACATCTAATTGAGATGAAAATAGTGTCCAAAGCCTTCTTATTATGAAAATTAAGAAGTACTTTTATATGTATACGAGCTTAGTACAAAACCTTGAAATCCCTATTTAAAGTCAGCTGTTTAGTACGCAACAGCTGATTATAATTTATCGGATGATTCACCCATTATTCAATCTTCAACCGGATCCTTCTGGTATTGATTGAGTATCTAGTCGCTAAAAAACCTTACTCTTCTATTTACCAAGATTTTCATTGTATGGTTTTAGTATTATAACAGGGTTACGACTTCTAAGCCAAATGTAAGTGTCATAATCCAAACAGACGATACTGTTACCAAAATATCAATGGCTTTCTTTTTTTTTCAAATCAACCTTCATGATATCAAACCAATTCCAACAGTATCATTCACACATGCCTGTTCACAAAAAAAAGCGAAAAAAATTCACATGACCTTGCACTTCGTGCCAAAAAAAAAATCCTTTTAAGTCAATTATCCTTGTTAGCGACGATGGTGGTGGTGGTGATGATGATGACGACGATGATGATAGCACCTATCATATCGATAATATATCGTTTGGTCTGCCGTTCGTTCAATTTTCGTCCAACCCCTCCTTGCCACTTCGCGATAACCTTTGATATTTGCATTGAACGCCAGTGCACACCTTATGGCGTTTAAGGCTACAATAACCTTAACCTTGTACAACAACAACTCATCAATTTGGATTTCGTATGAACCGGTCGGCCAATTCAATAACAAAATTTAAAAGAACACATTTCGCTACAGCAATAATATTAAATTTTGTTTTGGATGACCAGTGAACGGAATGCGGATATGACGGAGGTATTTTAAGCCATATGTTGTATATGTAAGCTATTTACATTTCCTTGTGGCTAAACATTTCAACTATGGCCTAAACTAGGCAATTATTTAGAAAATTTATGGATTGTTAAAATGTGTTGGGCACATATGGTAGCGAATTTGAAATTGAAGTGAGCGAACATATGGTGCTAAATGTGGTGTTCTCCTTCAATGTAATATGTAAGTTAGTAGTCTTGTTAGAGAGGGATAAATAAACAAATATTTGTATAAATAACACTGTGTGACAATTTTCAGATCATGATCAGGGGGAGGTGCTACAAATTCCAAGTGAAGGTGCTACAAATTGGATTGTCAGGAGAAAATTTTTTAGGGCTCATTATATGTATAGCCTTAACCATATACAGGGCTCAAATATTTTGCTCTATACTTTGCAAAATTTTAGATAAAGTATCCGATATGGTTACAGAGGGTATATATCGTTTGTTACTGCCAAAACGTGCCTCATCGGAATATCGGTATTAAACCCTAGGTCTTCTTGGACCAAATCCGTTTCAGGGTATTTGGAGTTGATCTAGAAGTGCGTGTCTGTCGGGCTGACTGGTGCTCACTATAACTCTCGAAGGGAGTATCCGATTTGGTCCAAACTTGATACATAGTATTATTATTATCAAACTTAGATTGAGTTCGGAGATGGGCAATATCGGTCCACTCCTTCTGGTCATCATTTTCAAAGAATAGAACTTGAGTCGAACCTGGAGAGTTTCTAGTGTATAATTCGCATATGCTAATTTGCAATAAGTTCGAAATATATACTACTTTCCAGAGAACGGCCCTTGTAAGCCATCATCCACACCAAATATGCCTGATGAGCCGCTTAACCAACGGCGAAACGCGTCGCATAGTGATAGTGTCTATCTGGCTTTCCTTTTCACTGCAAATTTCAGATCATTAAGCTCGTCTCGAAAGAGAAAACAAACACATAAATCATAAAACATATGATCTTCGCCTTAACAAGGCAAAACTCGAAAATAATTTACGTCATAGAAATTTTGAGCACGTCTTAAAAATCCCAATATTTTGTCAGTGCTAGCACAGGTTCGAAAATGGACTATATCGGCCCACTCAATCAAGTACCTTCCCCACAAAGGGTCAGGATTTTGAATAATTATATCTCTTATAAAATGCGAAATTAGCATCCAATTTCCTTCAAATTTCACACATCACCAAAAATTCCATTAACACAAAATCTGGTGTGAAGATGGAATATATCGGTACACACCTTCTGAAACCTTCCCCACAACGGGTCAACATTTTGAATAATTGTCTCTATTATAAAATGTAAAATAAAAGTCTCACGGTCGTAAAATTTCACACATCTCAATTATTTTACCAACACAAGACCTGGTATTAAGGACAGATAGAACGGAATACTCCTTTAGGTACCTCCCCCACTGCGAGTCAAAATTTTGAACAACCATTACGCTCATAAAAGTGGGTATGAGCGCACGATTTTTTCAACACAAGATCCAGTATGGAGATGGGATACATCGATTTACCCCTTCTCGTACCTCCCCCACAAAGGCTCAAATTTTTGAATAATTATAGATCTTTATAATGGGAAATAAGGGTCCGATTGACTTCTAGTTTTGCTCCACTCAATATTTTTACTAGCACAAGATCTGGTGCGGGTAAATCGGCCCACTCTTATGCTACCTCCCCCCAATGGGTCAAACTTTTGAAAAAAATCTGTCTCTCATAGAATGCGAAATATGAATCTGATTCTTCCTAAACTTCGTACATCCCAATATTTTTATATGACTAGATTTGACGGTGGATTGGAAATGCTTTCTATTTGGTACGAAAAGTACTAAATGGTACTAAATTTGGTATTAGGTGAAGGGATAGGGCTGGAATCCTTAAATTTAATGTTTATGCCTTGTTGGTATCTGGTATTGATTTATGGAGGTACTATTTAATATAAAAGGAACATAAAGTGGTTGAAATCTGAAATGTGCTATAAGGGTCGCTGGTCATGTGTAACCTGGACATATGGAGGTGGTTTGGGAAATTTGTACTGTAATTCTACGAAAAGTACTAATTAATACTATATTTGGATTTGGGCAATGGGATGAAGATAAAATTCTGGAATTAAATTTTTAGATTACTGATGGTATCTGTGTTTGAGATTAGGTGGTGGTTTGGAAATGCGTCCTATATTTGTACGAAAATTGCTAAATGGAACTAAATTTGGAATTGGGTGAAAATATACTGCTTCAAATCGGAAATTTAACAGTAGGATCACTGTCAGTGTGTAGGGTTGATATTTTTAGGCGGTTTTGAAAATACGTACCAAAAAGTACTAAATGGTACTAAATTTAGTTTTTGGGTAACTGATTGAGTTGGAAGTCCAAAATTTGGCATTAGGATCACTGGATTGAGAACTAAAATGGGATTTGCATGAAAAGTACTATATAGTACTATATTTGGTAACATTTGGTATTGGGTGAACAGATAGAGGTTGATATCTGAAATTTGGTATCAGGATCGCTGTTCATGTGTAGCATGGACAAATAGTGGTGGTTTCGGAAATGTATACTATGATTGTACAAAAAGTACTGAATAGTACTAAATTTGATATTGGGTGAAAGGACACAGATATACAATTCTGAAGTTTGTTATTTAAATTACTGATGGTATCTGTGTTTGATATTTTGCTGTGGTTTGGAAATGTGACCTATATTTATTCGAAAAGTACCTAATGATACTAAATTTTGTATTGCGTGAAGAGATGGGGACTGGAATCCTCTTATTTGATATTGATGTCTCTGTTGGTATCTGGAACTGAGATATGGATGTGAAATGTGTACAATTATTGTACAAAAAGTACTAAATTTGGGATTGGGTGAAGGAATAGAGCTGATATCCTGAAATTTAATATGGATGTCACTGTTGATGGTTGTCACGTACTATAATTGTACTAAATTTGGTAATGGGGGAAATTAAAGATCTGAAATACTGAAATTTTATATTAAGGTATCTGCTGTTGGTACCTGAACTTGAGATATGGAGATTATTTTTTGAAAATGCGTACTTTAACTGTACGAAAAGTACTAACTGGTACTAAATTTGGTATTGGGTGAAGGGATCCTTAAATTGTATAAGGATGTCACGGTCGGTCTCTGTGATTGGCAGTAGGAGTTAATTCACACACATAACGGAACGGTTTTAACCCTAAAATGTGTGTTAAATATTTATGAATTCCTGAAGTTTAGGTAAGCTCTAGACTTTTTATACCTTCTAGGACCTATGCTAGAATTTTATGTCAAAAAGTTTGTAGAATATTTTGACTTGCTACGAACCCGTTTAAGGGGAGTTTTTATCCACAATTTGCAAAAAATGGACCAAAAAGACCCCATTGGAGACTCGTTTGGGGGTTAATATTTTTCTAACAAAAAGATCCTCGTATTGTTATCTGTATCGCTTTCAAGGACACTACATTCCTGAAATCTTTAAACTTTCAAAACGCAGATATTTTAGCTCTATTTTCATAGTCTACTGGATTTTTCCTGTAATTATTGAAAACGTTTTTGTTGCACAGTGTAATTCTCAAACTTCTTTTTTTTTTTTTTTTGGTTATCTTTTCCAGACATTACAAAAATGCAGGAAATGAGTTACCTGCAGGATAATTCCAAAGTGGAGGCACTTACCAAAGCTGTTCTCATCTCCATATTAGCCGTTGCCATTATTTTATCGAATCTCTTGATTATAGCCACATATGCCAATTTCAAAGGTAAGTTCGGAAAGTTGTGATTTCCCATATTTCCCAAAATTTTCTGCTATCCACCAAAACCGAAATTCCTTAACCAAATTATAATTTAAAAAAAATATATATATCCCCAACAAATCCTTCTGTATATATTATTGTAAACTATTCTTAAGACTGACTATGTGTGTGTGTGAAAGAGAGACTTAAAAACAGAAATATATGTTAAATATGGACAAGACGAAAAAAATGGTTGAAAAAAGGTAATTAAATAAATTTTCGAAATTAAAAATGCTTCCTGGAGGACAATCATGTGTTTCCCAGCAAACCTTGCGATGAGAGGAAGTTGAAAAAAACGAGATATTAATATTTTGTTATTTTTTTTAAATTCTATTTTATCCCACCTGTTGCTGCATGTCTAGGTCCCACTGAGGTCATCAATTACTATTTGCTGTCATTAGCTGTAGCAGATTTATTATGCGGTCTATTGGTGGTGCCATTTTCAGTCTATCCCGCCCTGACTGGCGAATGGATCCAGGAGGAGATTATATGTCGCTTCACAGGCTATCTGGAGGTAACACTGTGGGCGGTATCGGTGTACACCTTCATGTGGATATCGGTTGATCGCTATCTGGCAGTGCGGAAACCTCTGCGCTATGAGACTGTGCAGACAAAAACAAGGTGGGTTCTCCTTATGCTCAATTGTTGTAGAGGATATTATTAATTTGTTGTTTGTCTTTAGATGCCAATGCTGGATGGCCTTCACCTGGATCTCAGCCGCCCTCCTCTGCTGTCCGCCCATATTGGGCTATACGGCGCCGGTGAAAAACGATGTCGCCCACATCTGCATGCTCGACTGGGGCAATATGGCGGCCTATAGCATAACTCTAGCAATATTAGTCTTAGGTCCCAGTGTTATATCCATTGTCCATAACTATTCATATATATTCATAATGATGCGCAAGCTCAAGTCGGGCGAGCCCATACACGATAAAGAATACGCTACGGCGTTGGCCGAAAATTTATCGAATCCAAGTCATATGATGTCATTTGCATTAGTGTTTGCATTCTGGATGTCCTGGTTGCCGTGGATTTCGTTACGTTTGTACGAACAGGTAACCGGTGATGTTGTGCAAAGTACTCTCATTAATTTTGGCGTCGTCTGGATCGGCGTGCTAAATTCCTTTTGGAAGATAATAATAATGACCACGATGTCACCGCAATTTCGTATCGCGCTCAGAGTATTTTGCCTAACAATATGCTGTAAGACTAAGGGCCGTTTGCAAGCTGAACTAATCGGGTTGGACCCAGATGACTAGAGTCGTTAGATTTTCATGTGGCTTAAAGTGTATCGATGAGTACTACTGAAATGCCTTTATCCAAAAAATTTTCTCCCACACCTAACCCCTCCCCCTAACCAGATACACACACACAACTTTTAAATTTTTTTGGAAAAGCTAACTCGCCCAGCCCAGCCCACCTTTCACACAAAACACACACTCACACATTTACACATATTTTAGTATGCCCCCAACGATGGGAGTTCTTGAGGAACTTTAATACAAATTGCCCCACACACAAACACCCACATACACACACACACCTCCACATACTTTCCATAATTTTTATTAAAAATTAAAACCCCAAACCAAAAACTAGTTTATTATTCTCATAGATGAACAAAAAAAAAACAGAACTAAAGATTTAATTAAATTGGTTGTAATTAGATGAAATTATAAATATATTAAAAAAATAATTCAATTTAAATTAAATAATTAAACAAAATACAACTTTAGATAAAAAGTAATGCAAACTGTACGTACATACTATTAACTATACTTTGCAAATAAATGAAGAAAAAAAAATAATATGAAATTATAAAAATTATAAAAAAAAAATAATCTAGCATCTCTAAGCTAAAGTGAATTAGTGCAACTAAAGTTGATTAGCATTTAAGTCTTGATTTATAAACAAAATGAAAAAAAAAACAAAAACATAACGAAGAAAAACAATTTTCATTCCAAAATAAATTTAAAATATTAATTAAAATCTATGAAAAAAGTATAAATAAAATCCATAATTAAGTTATTTTTGATAAGTAGTTTTAAAGGCATAGAAAAAAATGAATAAATTTAATGAGCTTACACCATTAATTTTTTATTTTTTTATTTTATTTTCAAATCGATGGCGAATTTGAGAAAATAATTTCATAAATAAAGATCTCAAAATATTTTCTTGGGCGCAGAGACACACATATATATTTTAAATCGAATTTTCAAACAGGCCGGCGCTACTTTAATCATATTTAAATGTTAAGGATAAAAAAAAATACTAATTTTGATTCCGAAAGTCAAAGGAAGTCTCCAAACAGTCTCATATCTCATATGAACTGAGACCTCTTCTTCTCTCATTGATTTATAGAAGATATTTTAAAAGTTTTTCAAAAGTTCTTCAACTTTTTCTAGGAAATCTGTTAGACTCTCTTTAAATTACCACGAGATAATAGGTCTTAAATACGGAAATTTCGAGGAAATTATATACCAATAGAGAAGAATATGCCAGTGAAATATCGGTAGGTCAAATATTCTTTTATCAGTGGAAGATCTTTTGGTCTCTTCATATGTGGCCTATAAGAGATCTTATGTCAAGAAAGAACGTCTTTAGGGTCATTTGTCTAAAGAGGAACACCTCATGATTTTACCTCAAGATGGTTCTGAAAAAAAAAAACCGAAAGTTATATGATTTTAATTATATACCAATAGAAAAGTACATTCTAGTGGAATATCGGCGGGTCTAAATGGCCAAAAGTTCTCTTATCAGTAGAAGACTTCTTAGTCTTCTCATATGGGGTCTGTAAGAGATCTTCTGTCAAGAGAGAATCTCTATTGGATCGTTTATAAAGTGAGGAACGCTTGAAAATCTTCAATTCTATTTCCTTAGGAAATGTCTTCAAATGACCAAAAATGGGTCTTTAAAAACGGAAAGTCTCTGAAAGTTATTTTCCAGTGGATGGGTATATTTTCAATAGAATATCGCTGGGTCTAAAACACCAAAAGTCCATTTATCAGTATAAGAACTCTCGGTTTCCTGATAGGGAACCTATAAGAGATCCGGTTAAGGGAGTACCCCTTTAAGAGCTTTTATCAAGAGAGGAATGCTTGACGATCGTCTATTATATTTTTCTAGAATTTCCATTAGACTCTCTTGAAATTAGGTCTTAAAAAAAGTAAATCTATGAAAATTTATACCAATAGAAAATTATATTCCAGTGGAATATAGGTAAATCCAAAATGTCTAAAGTCCAATTATCAGCAGAAGAGCTCTTGGTCTTCTCTCAAGAAATTACCTCTTTAAGGACGTTTATCAAGAGAGGGACACTTGAAGATATTACTACAAGATAGTTTTTAAAAAACGGAAACTCTGAGGACATTATATATGGAAATTTATATTCCAGTGGAATATCGGTAGGTTAAAATGGTCAACAGTTCTCTTATCAGCAAAAGACCTCTTGGTCTCCTCATATGGGTGCTTTAAGAGATCTCCGTCAAGAGAATACCTCTTTAAGGTATTTTATCAAGAGAGGATCGCTTAAAGATCTTCAATACTATTTTTCTAGAAGATTATATTCCATATTACCAGAAGATAGTTCTTAAAGCAAGGGAGTCCGAAGGCTATAAACCAGTAGAGGTGTACATTTTCAATGTAATATCTGTAGGTCTAAACGGTCAAATGTCCATTTATCAGCAGAAGACCTCTTGGTCTGCTTATAGGGGACATGTTAGATATATTCTGTTAAGAAAGTACCTTTTTAAGGTCTTTTATCAAGAGAGGAATGCCTGATGATTTTCAATTCTACTTTTTCTAGAAGATGGGTTTTGAAAAAGGAACGTCTGTTTTGAGCAGTGCTGCTATAGACAGAAGGCTTTTAAAAGACTAATTATATTTTTAGAAGAACTTCAGTGGATATTTTCTTTCTAGATGGCATGAGATGACAGACTGGATTTAAGAGGTTGTCACTTTATGGGCAGACTTTTGTCCTCAATGGATAAAATTCCTTTAAGATCACCTCCTCCCAGAACTTTGAGAGGTCTTTCGATATAGACAGGAGATTCTGCATATATTCCATATTTTTGAGAGTCTTCCCTTTCAAAAAGTCTTTTAAGACCATCCAGAGAGGGAAATAGAGAGAGGCGTATTCTATTGCTGAGGAGAATAAATATTAAATGGACACAAAAGTTTAAAACGTTTTCAAATTATAAAATTCCTTTGAGATCTCTTGCATAGGAAAAAATACTACTGATAGGTCTTCTATGAGAGAAAAATAGGCAGAAAACCTTTTGAGGTCTCTCGACACGCTTTGGCATGCACTTCAAGGTTATCTTTAAGAGTTAATTTATCTTTTTTCGGGAGGATTTCATCTGTCCTTATAAAGTCTTTGGCCTAATTTATCAAGTTAAATTGGCCTTTCGGGCCTGTGGAAGGTCTTAAATCCATAAAAGTTTGATCTGAATTTGTGATATATATTTCGTATGGATATATATTTCGTTGAACCTCAAAGGATTGAAATTTCTAAATTTTCTAACTATAGATAGAATACCTTTTGAAGGCCCTCTTACTATATAAGATATGTATAAAATTATAAGTTTATATTTATATCTAAAAGACTTTTAAATTATTCCGAAAATGTCTCCTAACAATGGTATTGGCTTTTCGACTATAGATAACATATGTTTTGGTCCTCGAAAAATTGAAACAAAAATCAAAAATTGGTCTTTGAATTTTAAGTTTTCTTTTAATGGTATTTAAATGAACGAAGCAATTTACAGATTTCTTCCAGCAAATACATTGAAAACCGAGAGCCCTCCTTTATTAACTCAAGTCTTTTTGAGAATTTTGGTTCTCGGATTTTGGATAGTGCATTCGAAAGGCGCATATGAACTTCATTTTGTACTCGAAAAAATAAACATGGGCACAAACCTAATTAGATACCAATATAGAGTCATGTGTAGAATTCTGGAAAAGAAATTCTGAAAATCAAAGATCGGTCGAAGACTTTATACATTTCCTTGTCTCCTTCAAATTAAGCCCAGATATGAATGAATGAATACTGCTATTCATATGTGTGTAATAGAAATTTTAGGATCTTTAGTCGATAGCAGTTAAGTTTTTTATTTCAAAATATATTTTTAAAGCTTTCTGTTTAGAGTAATAATAACAATAGTAGATATATATTGATTAAATATAAGTCAAACATTTGTTGCCAAAAATAAAACTCACTTAAAACAATATCACCGACATCAATATCAATATTTTTTATTTCTCAAAACACAGCATCACAATATTATAAATATGGCTACGGTCTGTGGGTGTGCGAACAATTTTAATCGACTTTCGTTTTTTGAAATATTTGCAACAGTCTTCGTTGACTTTCAGGTGGTGTCATTCCCAGAGGAAGTCCATACAAAGGCATGGCAATGTAAGGGCTAGACAAAATACATTATGAAGAAGGATATTTATAACATAACATACAGGGTGAGATAAAAAAAACTGCAACAAAGTCAAACGCCATAATTTTTACATTTTTTTTAAATTTTAATGAATGAAAGCAAAAAAATGTCGGAAATAGCATCAAATGTTAGAATAAGTTTAGATTTGTTCGAATTGGTCACCTTTGGCACGATATATGGCCTTCAAACGGGCAATGAAACCATCACACGCTTTTCGAATTCTGCTCTTCGGTATTTTGGCCCGTTCCCGGCGAAGCGTTTGCTTGAGGTGATCGACACTTTGGTATTTTTTAGTACCAACCTTGCTTTCCAAAATACTCCAGACACAATAGTCTAACGGATTGGTATCCGGACATTTTGGTGACCATTAGGCGCTGGAAATGAAGCGAGGAACGTCATTTTGTAACCGAGGAACCTCATTTTGTAACCATTCTTGGGTGGCGTGTGCTGAGTCCTGTTGGAATTTCCAAGGTCAAAATGTTTGCGCGACCAAGGCTTTAATACACCCACGCATTTTCGCGAAAATATTCGTCATTTATTCTGATGCCACGGTCGATTAATACGAGCGGAGAGCGACCATCGGCTTTTATGGCGGCCCACACCATCAAAATGGCGGCGCTTGAGTTCTGGTGGCCAACCGAAGGCGCACATTTTCAGCTGACCTCTTTGGCAAGTAAACACGATCATTTTGTTTGTTTACAAACTGCTGGACAACGAATGCTTTCTCGTCGGAGCGGATAAAACCAAATTCCGCAGTTCACCACTTTCGGCCAAGCGAAGCTTCCAGTATCACGGTAACGAGCAATGGTACGAGACACAAAAGATTTATTCAAATTTAAATGCTGGAGTGCTCTAACGATAGCAACTTGTGGTTTTCCAGCCAAATATAAAGAAATCATACTATCACGCTTGAAATCCATCACGAATAATGCTCACCAAAATGCTTTTGTACGCTTGTAAACAATATCATGAGCTATCACTGGCATAATTTTAACAGCTGTCGGACGAGTGGCTTAGAAATGACAGTAGTCTGAAGTTGGTTGCAGTTTTTTCATCTCACCCTGTATACATTTTTCAAAAAATCCAAGGATTAGAATCATCATTTCCGTTAAGTACGATATCTAGTAACGGAGATTAGTTTCATATTTTGAAAATTTATTTATGAAAAAATGTATCAAAATCTGTCTTTAAAATGTAAGAGAAGATTTTAGCCGACATTGTCGCTCGTGAATATATTTCCTGGTACACCCACAGCTCTATTGCCATAACTACAACATTAACAATAAACATTTTCTTAATTTATTTCCACATAAACAATAAACCATTACAAAAAATATAAAGCAATAAATTATATTCCAAGATACAGACAAGCATAAATAAATGAATAAAATTACTAAAAAAAAATCATTTTTTTGTTCACTAAGTAGACCTTCTAAACTGGAACTCTATATAGCAATAATTGATATCTAAAATTTTGCAAAATAACTTGAGAAAAAATGAAAACCTAAAACTATTTTTGAAAATAATTATCAAAACACTAATTAACTGAACAAAAGCAGGAAATAAAGAAAAGCAAAATACCAAACAAAAAAACACATATTCAAGGAATGATTGCAATTCATTAGCTAATCAATTTTGTTTCACAAAAATTAAAAACGAAAAAGAAGAATTATTAAAACAAAATTATTTTGTATTGCCGCAAATTAGGATTATTTTATTTAAAAAGAAAACATTTAAGCATTGTTTTTTGATGCCTCCTAGCTGTTAGAAAATGTATTGCAAACATTCGGCCGTAAATATAAAAGGAATAATACTTTTAATTTTTCAAAATTAAAAAAAAATACAAGATTTTGTAGAAACAAAAATAAAAACACAAAACCTAATAATTTCAAATTCAAATAAACTGTTTAATTTTAGACTGTAAGATCGTAGGATAATGTCCAGATTAAAACTAGACAACAATTCATGTGAATAAGAAGGAATAACCAAAATTGCAGACTTGTGTCAGATATATTCAATATAATGGAATTAAATAATTTTTCTAAATTTATTTACCCACTATTTTTGCCAGGGTGATCCGAGAAGAATTGTTCTGATCCATCTTTCCGAAGATGGATTGATAAATTGATCATAATGTGTATCACTCCCTCAGAGACAAACTCTACCCAAAACGTACAAATGTGAGGTCAGAGGTCATAATTTCGTATGAAAAAGGCGATGTACAACAACTTAAGCCTTGTTTTCTTTCGTATGATTCAGAAAATCATTAACTACTTCTTGGCAAGTTCCCTGCAGTAGCTAGCCTGTCACATTGTAACTCAAAGCTAATACTATATATGGCCGGCATCACCAAGTAAATGAGAATTATTTGCCTTATGTGGTACATGACATATTAACGAAAACGGAATTGTTCGTTACACGGCCAACGAATACTAGGGTAGTCTCATTGCTACTGTCGGATTTGCTTGTGGTGTTGCTGGTACAATGGGTGCGGTTGTGTGTTCTGTATGATGTGTGTATAATGAAATCATAACGTTAAGGAGAAGAGAGATCAAATGTGGTCGCGCGGGGGAGAACTCAAAGGGCACAAGTTTTACAAGAAGTTTTCTCTCCACTCTTTTCCGAAAAACATTATCAAAATATTTTTTTAGTAGGAATGACTTTTATTGTACAACTTTTATACCCTCAGCTATATAGCTACAGAGGGTATATATAATTTAATACGACCAAAATGTGCCTCACAAAAATAAGGGTTATAGACCCTAGGTCTCTTTGGACCAAATCCGTTCCCGGACATTTGGAGTCGATCTAGCGATGTTCGTCCGTCTATCTGTCTGGTTGGCAGGGAGTACCCTGCCTCTCGAAGGGAGTACCCAATTTCATCAAAACGTTGTGCGTCGTAATCTTATTGTCAAACTTATATCGAGTTCGAAGATGGGCAATATCGGTCCACTCCTTCTGGTACCTCCCTCACAAAAGGTCGAAATTTTGAATAATTAAAACTCTAATAAAATGTGACGTAAGAGTCTGATTGCCTTAAAATTTCACATATCTCAATCATTTTATTAACCCAAGGTCTGATGGTAAGATGGAATATATCGATCTACTCCTTCTGGTACCTCCACTACAAAAGGTCGAAATTTTCAAAAAATATATTTTCTGCACAGAAAGATAAACGATAATCCGATTTTGCTCCAACTTTACCAGTCACAATATTTGCATCAGTTCTAGGTCAGATAAATGTATAATATCGGTCCACTTCATGAAGTGCCTCCCAACAAAGGGTCAACATTTTGAATAATTATAACACTTACAAAATGTAAGATTGTCTAAAAATTTCACGCAACCCAATATTTTTATAAACCCAAGATCTAGTGTTAATATGGAATATATCGGTCCACTCCTTCTGGCACCTCCCCCACAAGGGCTCATGAATCTCATAAAAAGCGAAATTATGATCCGATTCCATTCCAGACTAGGTACATCTCAATATTTCTATGAACAGAAATCTGTTATAAATATGGTAGAGATCGGGCCATTCCTTCTGGTACCTCCCCCACAAAGGATTTCAATTTTGAAATTATAAAATGTATAAATAAGAGTCCAGTTATCTTCAAATTACATACTTCACAACACCTTTATTAACCCAAGGTCTGGTGCGAAGATGGAATGTATCGGTCTACTCCATCCCAAACAAAGGTTCAAAAGATCCGTTATAAAGATGGTAGAAATCGGACCATTTCTTTTGCTACCTTTCCCACATAGGGTTCAAGATTCTGAAAAACAAAATGCTCAAAGAAAGCGATATAAGCATCCAACTCTCCTCAAATTCCACACATACAAACATTTTTGCTAATGCAAGATCTGATGTGAAGATGATATATATCTGCGAACCCCTTCTGGTACCTTACCCATTTTCAATATTTTTATCTGTCATAACTTTGGAAACAAGTCAGCGATCCTTTACGACTTGCTATATCTGAATATTTCTCTCAACCAGAAACCTGAGGTAAATATGGAATTTACCAACCAGTTGCCAAGTTACCCCATATTTATATCGTATTTATTTAGATCCGATACGAAATAGACAATATTGGAGCATTCCCTCAGAGCCCACTCCATAGAGGGTCAACAGTTTGAATTATAACACAAGTCAAAATATATTTAAGTAATCGAACATAGGCTGATGGTATATATCTGTCGGCAAAATAAATTTATAAATTTCTAGAATTGAAGATGATGGGTATTATCGTTGGTCTTATTTATACAATTCCCAATCCAAAAATAGGTGCGGAATTTGGCCATCTCGTTCTCTGTCCTTTAAATTGTTTCACATATATTGTTGTCTAGTGTTAACGAATTTAAGAAAAAAATACCAAAAAAGGATATCAAACAAGGAAATTAATATTTTTTAATATTTTTTATTTAATTAATTAATAAATATAAACGCATATTATGTTTCTGTTTCTTCCCTTTACTGTTTACCTCATCATCATCATCATTACTTATTGTTCTCTTAAATCTCATAACCATCCCTTTTGTGTTTCATTATTTTCCACTCTCCTCTCTTAGTTTCAGTTGTACTATCAACATCAATAGATAAATTTATCCTTAGTCCTTAGTGGGATAAATCAAGTTTCCAAACAAAAACTAATTTGCGTTTATATTGCCATTTATTTATTTAATTATTTTTATTTTGTTTTAATGCAAAAATATTCCCCCATAAGAGATGACAACCAAAAATGTGATTAGATATTTTTCTTGTTGTTTGATTCAAAGACAAAAGGCTATATGTTAATTTTTTGTATGAATGAAAATATAATTGGATAAGAAAATTGAAAATGAAAAACAAAAATTGAATTGGAAATTTGTATTTTAAGAAAAGCGAAAGCCAGACACACACACATTCAAATATTTGAAGTATGAAACTTGAAACACTTAAGAAAAAAATGTATAGCAGAAGTATGAAATAAGTGATAAAGAAAATAAAAGAAAAACATTATGAAAAAAAATAGTTTTTTTTTTTTGAAAAAAATCATCTCATTCCAAAAAAAATACATATTGGGATTTTTTGCAATTGTTTTATTGAAAGTTCCAAAAGAGGTAAGTACTAAATTATTTCCCTGAAGTTAGACCCCATATTTTCATTTGAACGCCACTACAATTTAGCCATTTATGGCCAGTCTCCGAAACAACTTTATAGCAAACTTTATAGCAAATTCCAAATTTTAATAGGGATATAGATGTTATATGGGTATATTTGTCTTGACCCTACATTTTTATACCCTCCACCATTCAAGTATGGAGGGTACATTAAGTTCGTCATTCCGTTTGTAACTCATCGAAATAATCATTTCAGACCCAACAAAGTATACATATTCTTGGTCAGCGTAAAATTCTAAGACGATTTAGCCTTGTCCGTCCGTCCGTCCGTCTGTTCGTCTGTTGTAATGTAGCGTGAGTCAAAGCGAATTAAGATAGGAAGCTAAAATTTTACACAGATCTGTCTTTTGTCTGCAGACAGGTCAAGTTCGAAGATGGCCTATATCGGTCCACGATATCGTTTAGCCCCCATATAACGGTACCCCCCGATATTCGGTATTTTGATCATTTTAGCCACATTTTCCAATGATATTGTTTGAAAATCCACACAAGAAGTCCCTTGTGAGTACTTTTCCCGCTGAAAGAGATATGTCCATATAGGTCACCAAAATCGTATATCCCCCAAAAAAAAAAAAATATGAAAATTTTCTAATTCGGTCCAAATGGTATAGGTATTTAAAGTTCGGCTCGGCCGAACTTACTGCTTTTTTACTTTCCCATAAAAAATGTATTTTTTACCAGAGAAGAAGTAGATGTGGTAAATTTTGAAAAGCTTTGATGATGTCCTCTTTTTTAGAGTAAGGTCCAAAGTAGATTATACATTATATTATTATTTTTTATATTATATATTATTATTTTATATATTTTGAAAATATTACTTAAGGCTAAAATAGAAGACCCGTGAATCGGCGCTTTAAAAGTTTACAGCGCAAAGTAGCCTAAATAAGGGGGCAAATTTTTGCGGATTAACATCCCCCGGAATCTTTGCATTTTAGGTATATAGTGCCTTAAGCAACTACTGATAATAATACGAGGAATATTTTGGTCGAAAAGTGTAACCTTCAAGCGAGGCGCCAAAGGAGTCTTTTTTTTTGGTCCATTTTTCAAAATATGATTAACACTCCCTTTAAACCGAAACGCAGCAATTCAAAATATTCTCCAAAATTATTTATCATAAAATTCCACTATAGGTCCCAGAAAACATCAAATCTCAACTAAACGCCAGGAATTTATAAATATTGAAGACACATTAGGTAAAGGCCATACTTGAAGTGAATTTATGAATGACGTTAAATACAAAAATATTCTCCCCTAAATTTCACTACAAGTCACCACAAGAATGAGATCTATATTTCAATTATATAACATGAAAATATTAACATCAATGTTGTGAAAACAACGCAAAAATATGAGCTCCTCAGCCAACCAACAACCCAAACATGCCACATCGAAATTACGGTTATAGACCCTAGATATATTTGGTAGAAACCTGTTTCAGGAGTCAATATGGGGGTGTCCGTTCGTATGTATGTCTGCCTGGCTGGTGCGCTCGATAACTCTTGAAGGGAATTTCCGATTTGGTTTGAACTTGGTACATCATAACGTAAATATCCAATTTAGATCGAGTTCGGAGAAAAGCAATATCTTTCTGGTACTCCCCCACAAAACGTCGAAATTTTCAAAAAAGTATTTTACTGACCATAAAGAAAAAGGATAGTCCGATTTTGCCCCGAAATTGCAAATTCTAATATTTGCATCAGTGATAGGTCATTTGCGAAAATGGACAACATCAATCCACTTCATCATCCCTTCCCCACAAAGGGTCAAATTTTTGAACAATTATAACTCTTCTATAACTCTTTTCTAAAAAGAGTTATAATTGGTCACACCATGGTCTGGTGTGAAGATGGAATATATCGGTCCATTCCTTTTGGAACCTTCCCCACAAATGGTCAAAATTTTCAATACCAATGCGAAATTAATATCCGATTCCATCCAAATATGGCAGATCTGCATATTTCTATCAACACAGGATCTGTTATAAAGTTGGTAGAGATCGGACCATTCCCTCTGGTACCTCCTCCAAAGGGTAAAGGTTTTAAATAACCAAAGCGATTATAACATCCAAAATAAGCATCCGATTCTCTTTGTATTACATACATCACAAAATGTTACCAACCCAATGTTTGGTGTGAAGATGGAATACATCGGCGCACTCCTTCTGGTACCACCCCACAGAGTTCAAGGTTTTGAAAAAAAAAACGCTCATAAAACGAGAAATAAGAATTCAACTCTCTTTAAATTTCACATATCCCATCATTTCTACTGGGATATGTCGGTCCACTCTTTCTGGTATCTCCCCCACAAAGCGTCAAAATTTTTAATATCCATGAAGCTCATAAAACGCGAAATTAACATTCGATTCCACTCAGACTTGCCACATCTCAATATTTTCATCAACAAAAGAACTGTTATAAAAATGGTAGAAGTCGGACCATTCCTTCTGGTACCTATCCTACAAAGGGCCGAAGTAATGTAATGATGTAACCAATATAGTCCAAACCTGGCATTTAAATGTGAATAAATCTTTTGTGTCTCGTACCATCGCTCGTTACAGTAATACTAATAGCGTAGCCCGACGTCAAGGAAGTGGAAGGAAGAAAACAGCAGAAATGGTTCGAAAAATAAAGAAGCGACTTGATCGAAACCCGCGTTCCATTGGCCGAAAAATGGCTTGTGAGCTGAACATATCGCAATATTCCATTCGGCAAATATTTAAAAATGAGCTCAGGGTAAAGCGATTGAAATATTCTGGAGGGTGTATTAAAGACTTGGGCATTTTGGCCGCAGACCTTGGACATTTCAACAGGACTCAGCACCATCGCACTCAGCAAGCGCCACCCAAGAATGGTTACAAAATGGCCCTTCGCTTCATTTCCAGCGCACAATGGCCACTAAAATCTCCGGATACCAATCCGTTGGGCTATTGCACCTCCACCTCAAGCAAGCGCTTCGCCGGAAATGGGCCAAAATACCGCAGAGCAACATTTGGGCAGCGTGTGACGATTTCATTGGCCGTTTGAAGGCCATGATTCGTGTCAAAGGTGACCAATTCGAACAAATCTAAACTTATTCTAAAAATTTATGCTGTTTCCGACATTTTTTAGCTTTCATTCAATAAAATTTAAAAAAAATGTAAAAGTTATGGCGTTTGACTTTGTTGCAATTTTTTTATCTCACCCTGTATATACTTTGTGGGGTCTAAAATGTATATTTCTCTTCATACTATGGTGGAGGGAATAATAATTTTGTAGAATATTTTGACTTGCTTCGAACCCGTTTAAGAAGTGTCCTTAACCATTTTTTTAAGAAAGGACCAATAAGAAAAATTACCAAGAACAAATTTTAAAATTTCAGAAATTGAGGAAAAGGGAGGAACTTGAACCCTCTTTGTTTTTTTATATACTTAGCATTTCTTTAAAAAAAATTTGAAATGTACATATTTCTGGGTACGTCGCTGATGATGCATATCGTTTAATATGTGTCTTCCCAGTGTTGATTTGGTGTTTCAAAGCAGCGTTTAATTTCGACTGGAATAAATAAATAATGCCATGTCTATAGTCGACAAGTTATACACTCATGCTACTGCACTAAATACGTTGGCACCTCTTCTATTAAAGAAAATATATTCAAATGGGGGAAGAGGAACCCGTTTTTCAACTGTAGGTATATAACCAAATCAAGCTTAGCTTTTATTGCATTTTTTATTCATTTTGTTTAGTTAATTTATAAAAGATCAGCCAGTGCAGTTTCGGTGGCAGTCCAGAAAACATTAAAAATCAAATCGAATTCAATTTAATAATATCGTTATTTCGAAAAAATATAATTTCAAAATGGAAATTTCCATGAAATTGTGTTTTATTGTTGTCTTTACTTGGATTTCGATGACACAAGTAATGGGTGCAAAAATTCTTCCGGAAAAGCGTATGTTTGCTGTGATATTTTTCGTTTCGATTTTAAAAACTATTGGATTTTTTTTTTTTTTTTTTTTTGTATTATAGCATCATTTCTAACCATTTGCAAACGCTCCGATCCGGAATTTGGTACATGTTTTGCTAAAAATTTGCAAGCGGCATTTTTTGAATGGAAATCAGGTGAGATATAAATTTAAATAAAAAAATTCCGCAATCGTACAGTAATTGAATAAAAACAAAAGGCTAAAAAAATATTCCATATAAAACAAGTAAAAAAACTGTAAGTTCAGCCGGGCCGAACTTTGAATACCATCCACCATTTGGAACGAATTTGGCAATTCTCAAAAACAAAAAAATCCATTAAAAAGTTCTGTTAAAATCTTAAAAATACCGGATGTAGCTGTTATATTGGGGTCTATACGACGACATGGACCTGCATAGGTAACTTTCGTCATAAGCCATTACAATATTCAAATACGAAACTTAAAAAATCGGTGAATAATGTCGCTAAAATCATCAAAATACCGAATATCGGAAGATATCGTTATATAGAGGCTATACGAAGACGTGGACCTGCAAAGACAATCCACTGTCATAGGCTGTAGCATCCATTACGAACTTCAAATACCAAATTTGAAACAATTCCGGTGAATAATGTCGCAAAAATCAACAAAGTACTGAATATCCGGAGGTACCTTTATATGGGAGCTATACGAAGACGTGGACCTGCACCGACAATTTTCTGGACCTGCACAGACAATTTTCTTTTTTGACTGCAGTATTCATTTCGAACTTCAAATACCAAATTTGAAACAATTCTGGTGAATAATGTCGCTAAAACCATCAAAATACCGAATACCGGGAGGTACCGTTATATGGGGGCTAAACCCAAGCGTGAACCTACAAAATTCCTGCAGACATAATACACATTAAAGGAACATTTTATCAACCTACTTCATTTCGTTCGGAAGCTAGAGTGATTTCCACAGATGGACAGACCTATGGACATCGCTAAAAGAATTTTACAAACAGAATGACAAACTTAATATACCCTCCATACTATGGTGGAGGTTATTAAAAGAAACCCAAACTTGAAAGAAAACACTACAAAAGATTTCTGACCTGAAAAGTTAAAAAAAGGATACCTCACGGCCCTATGTGTGAATCTAATTTTTAAAAATCTTCCCTAAAATCTTTAAAAAAAAATTACAAATCTCATTAATAGGTGTTCCCGGTCTAAAATCAATCCGTTCCTTGGATCCTCTTCACTTCAAACGTGTCACAATCAAACAGGGAGATCAAGGCAATCCCATCTCTATCAACATGGAATTGGAGAAGGCAGCCCTTGCCGGTTTGGGTGGAACTGCAATTGATGACGTGGGGTGAGAATTAATATTGAATTAGTTAAGAAAATAATGAATAAATTCTCTCTTTTTCAATAGATCGAATGGCAATACTTTGGATATGAAATTGAAGATAACAATTCCATCCTTCAAGCTGACCGGTGATTATAAACTGCAGGGAAATATTCTGAGTTTGGCCTTGAACAGTCAAGGAAAAGCTGTTATAACATTTGGTAAGTGAGCAATGAAACGTTAGGGACCGAGAAAAACGTGGAAAGTTTCCCTTCCATTTCTTACAAAAAAATTAAACAAAGGCTGTAATATACAATTTGATATGGTACACCACCATACATTGCGGTAAAATGGTTTGAATCAATAGTTAAAATTAATAATTAAATTTTGAATGGGTGAATTTTTTCAGCTATGAACCCAAACTGTCTAATTGAACCTACTTCGGTATTAATTTGCTACTGAAATCTTGAAATAAATTGAAATTCGATGTATAGCGTTATATAGAAGCATAAGTCTATATTGAAAATTTCCTGCAAAAAGGCTATACACGCTCTGAAACCCTGAAATACGAAGTTATAATTAGTGCGGTTTCCAGCGAACTTTACCTTCGAGTGGTATAGAAACGCATACTCGATTTCTTTAATTTACTCTCAGAAATACTTAAGTATTCTCGAGTAGAACGTGATACTTGCACGAATTCGAGTTAGAACATTTCAGCTGCTTTGAATAGGCGTGCTCAGATTCTGTACTTGATCGAGATATTTTACACACAAACAAACGTTTAGATCCTCAAAATTAGGTTAACTCCATCAAGCTTGGGCGTTATCAAGTGTAGAACGTTATCGTTCTATATTCAGCAAAAATTTGGTAGGCGAATGTGCCACTTTAACATTAGAAGGCTACCACAAGGCTACAGAAGGCTATTGACAATTTTTGGATAAAAATTAAAAAATTCCACAATATGAGAGATATACGGAAATGAGGATTATTTCGATGAGTTACAAACGGAATAACGTACTTGATTTGCCCTTTATACTATATATGGTGGAGGGTATAATGAGCAACAAAACCTGCACACAAATATATAAGCCGAGGTCATGTTAAACTTCCGAGCGTCACTAGGACAAAACTCATTACGTCATAAGTTCGATTCGCCTCTCCTTCGAAATTCTTAGTATCTCACCAAGACCACTCTTCGCCAAAAGTGATTATCCATCCCCCGACTCTGACCTGCGATTTGTGCCACATTCTAATTTATACCCTCAGGCTGGTGGCTACATATGATGGTCTTAGGCCATAGATAACTACATATGACGGTCTTAGGCCTTAGGTTTCTTCGACCGAAATCTTTTTTAAAACATTTGTACGACTGTTGCCCACAATAACCCTCGAAGAGAGAATCCGATCTGGTCTAAAATTATTACTTCGTTATATTTTTAATAATCTAAGATCACGTTCAGATATGGGCATTATCGCGTTATACTACACAATAATTTCAAATTTTTTGTGAGGTAAGGTCTTTGCCTTCTGCCATTAGGAATTCAAAGTTCTTTTAAAATTAAGCCTTTCTGATCAATTAACCTCACACCCAACTAAAACTTTTCACACCCCATACCAAATCGGTTGAAACATATTACGATATTGAATACCTTACATTCTCTCGTATCGCCATATTTTTATCGGGCCAAGGTTAAGTAGGGAAAATGGTCAATATCGGCTCACTCCTTCTAGTACCTCCAGCTTAAAATATCACCCCAATACTTCTCTCCACACTAGATCTGGAGCGAAAATGCTCCGTGCCTATACACTCCTTCTGGTACACACCCCCACAAAACTTCAATATACGATTTGGTATAGACTTAATACATGGTAATATGCATCAGACTTAGGTTAGGTCCGGAAATAGACAACATCCCAATTCTGGCATCTTTCCATTTTGAAAAATTATAACTCTCGCAAAATGTGAAATAGCCAATATTCTTCTAACTTAGCACGTGCCAATTTTATTCTATATTAGGGCAATATATATAGCTCTAAGCTCATTGGTGCCTTCTCTACAAGAGTTAAAAATTTACCGAAAACAAGTTAAATAATAAAAGTTGGTTTTGCCGATAGATGTATACGACCAGCCTTGTGTTATGACTATTCCAACTATTCACCCTCCAGGGGGGAGGTTCCTAAGCAGTTGACCAATATTGTCCAATTCGTATCTGACCTAAGTCTGATATAAATATTACTTATAGCAAATTTTTGGAAAATGTGAAAATATGTGTGAGGTACCAGATATATCGGACCGAACAATTCCACTTCATATAATGCAGAAAAAAACTGCTACTTACAAAATTTAATGGAAATCGAACATATATATCCAATTTTATACGAAATCATAAATGCCGATAAACTACATATTCATATCAAATTTCTAGCTAAGGGAAATATTGCGATATAGCAAGTTGTATAAAATCGCCGACTTGTCCCACAAGTTATGACAGATAAAAGTATTGAAAATTGTGACCATTTGTGTCAGAGGTACCAAAAGCGGTTGGCAGATATCTATCATCTTCACAAAAGATTTTGCGTTAGCAAAAATGTTTGGATGCGTGAAGACAGTTGGATGCTTATATCGCGTTTTATGAGCATTTGTTTTTTCAAAATTATGAACACTTTGTGGGGGAAGTACCAGAAGGAGCGCGCAGATATATCCACAGCAGATCTTGGGTTAGTAAAAATAATCGCATGTGTGAAATTTGAAGAGAATAGGATGCTTATTTCGGATTTTTTGCTCGTTTTGGTTATTAAAAATTTTGACCCTTTGTGGGGAAGGTGCCAGAAGAAATGGTCCGATCTCTACCATCTTTATAACAGATCTTGTGTTGATGAAAATATTGAGATATACCAAGCACGAAGGGATTTGGATGTGAATTACGCATTTTATGAGTTTCATGAATATTCAAAATGTTGACTCTTTGTTGGGATGTACCGCAAGGAGTGGACCGATATATTCCATCCTCATACCCGACCCTTGGTTAATAAAAAATATTGTGATGTGCGTAATTTGAAGACAATCGGTCTCTTACCTCACATTTTGTAAGAGTTAAAATGATTCAAAATGTTGACGCTTTGTGGAGGAGCTATTTGATGGAGTGGACTGATACTGCCCATTTTCGCACGTAACGGAGCCCTGAAGGAAATATTAGGATTTTACAAAGTTGGAGCAGAAGGGGATTATCCTTTTTCTTTCTGTGCAATAAATTATTTTCTTTGAAAATTTGGAACTTTTATGTGGGTGGTACCAGAAGGAGTGGACCGATATCGCCCATCTCTGAACTCGATCTAAGTTTGACAATAATTTGGCACTAGTCAATAATCTAGGCACGTTTTGACCGTATCAAATTGTATATAGCCTCTGTAGCCATATGGCTGAGGGTATAAAAAGTAGTAAGTTCGACCTTTCCGAACTTTGAACACCCTCAACCATAAGTAACAAATTTGAAATTTTTCAAAAAAAATATAATCCGCTAAAAATTGTGTTAAAATCTTAAAAATACCAAATATTGAAAGTTGCCGTTATATTGAGGTGACCTGCATAGGAAACTTTTTCATAGACCATTACAATATGATGAATATGTAGCTAAATCATTGAAATACCGAATATTGGGAGGTACCGATACATGGGGGCTATACGAAGACCTGTACCTACATAGACAATTTTCTGTCATATTTTCTGTAACAATTACAGTGAATAATGCCGCAAAAACCTATCAAAATACCGAATAAAGGAGGTACAGTTATTAAGGGTCTATACCTAAACGTTGACCTATCATCAAAATACCGAATATAGGAACGTACAGTTATATGGGAGCTATACCTAAACGTGGACCTATATAGCCCATTTTCAATACCAAAAGTCCTGCAGACCAAATACACATCTGAGTAACATTCAATTCATTCGAAAGCTAGAGTGATTTCCACAGACGAACGAACGGAGGACGGGCGGTCATCGTTAAATCTTTGTGGGATCTAAAATGTATATTTCGAGCTTTTACAAACGGAATGACAAGCTTTATATACCCTCCATACTATTGTGGAGGGTATAAAAAACTGAAATATTTCCTATTTCTTTAAGCATTTCTTCCTCGATCTTTGTTCAACTTGATGCATGGATACCCCACAAAGTTGTCATATGCCTAGGGTAAATATTTTTCGATATATGTACCAGCTGATACTTCCTAAACTAGATTTACCCATTATATTTACTCATTTGAACATCCACATTTGAATATAGGAAATCTTTATATATAAACATCAATTCCGTATTTGATTTAGCATCTCTGTAAAATATCTTGCTAAAAATTACGTTTCGAATTCTGTGTTGCAAAAAACTTGTTTAGACCAATATTATTTATCCACAAATATAAATAAAAATATATGTATATAGATATATATCGCTATTTATGATATTTAAACCCCATAATTTATCTGCTTTAAATGGTGTTCCTCATTTCTTTTATCACTTTTTTTTTGTCTAGATAATGCTGTTCTAATACTAAATGTTCAATTTAAATTGAACGAGCGTAACGGTTACGAATTTGCCGATGTTGACAAATTCCAATTGGATTGGATCGAGAATGGTGGCATTCAATTCCATTTCAATAATCTATTCAATGGCGATAAAGCTTTGGAAGATGGAGCTCTGGCTTTGTTGAATGCAAACTGGAGTACCCTGTTCGATGTTCTGCGACCTTCGCTGAGTCAAACGAATCAAGTTGTTGTAAAAGATATTATAACTAAAATATTTGCCTATGTACCGGCGAATTATTTAATGGAGGAATAAAATTTGAATATATCATATAAATGTGTTGTTTATATGATTTTAAATCAACATAACTCGGGCATGGTAATTTGCTATATTGTGTCAAAGGGGAATTATCCTTGCTAACAACTATTGGTAATAAAAATACATGGACAAAGGCCCTATAGGCCATATATATTTTTTTTCAATAATTACAGAAAAAACCGAACATATTATGAAAGTGGAGCTAAAAATAGAAGGTAGAAGTGTATCTACATTTTGAATGCTTACATTCCAAATTGAGCTAAACAGATGGGATATGTTCCCCCTCTTCCACATTTTTTCTCCAAATTTTTGGACTAGGATTATTGGAACAGATTATGAAAGCAGAGCTAAAAATAGAAGATAAAAGTGTATCTGCTTTTTGAAAGTTTACATCCCAAAGTAAGCTAAATAGAAGGGTAAGTTAGCCCACTTCCAAATTTTTGCTAAATTTTCGGACTAAGATTCTTTGGAATCTATGCATTTTAGGTATATAGGGTGTTAATGTCAAAATCGTAGGTGAAGGGAAAACATCCCTAATACTGGCAACTCAGGTTTTCCTGGTTCATTTCCAAAGATTTTCCTTACCTACACCTTGACATTGTCGCTCACTTATTCATACAGGTCATTTCTAAGCCACTCGTCCGACAGCTGTTCAAATTATTGTGTGATAGCTCATTATATTGTTTACAAGCGTACAAAAGAATTTTGGTGAGAATTTTTCAGAAAAAAAAGTTATTCGTGATGGAATTCAAGCGTGATTGTGTGATTTCTTTATAATTGGCTGGAAAAACCACAAGTGGCTATCGTTAGAGCACTCCAGCATTTAAATGTGAATAAATCTTTTGTGTCTCGTAACATTGCTCGTTACCGTGATACTGGAAGCGTAGCCCGACATAAACGAAGTGGACGGAAGCAACATCAGCAGAAATGCTGAAGCGACCGCATCGCAGTGGTCGAAAAATGGCTCGTGAGCTGAATATATCGCAATATTCCATTCGGCAAATATTGAAAAATGAGCTCGGTGTAAAGCCAAAAAATGCAAGAACTTTCACCGCAACAGAAAGGAAATAGATTCAAAAGAGCTAAGGAGTTGCTTTGCTTGGCCGAAAGTGGTGAACTGCCGAATTTGGTTTTCTCCGCCTCCGATGAGAAAACATTCGTTGTCCGGCAGTTCGTAAACAAACAAACGAACAAATGATCGTGTTTACTTGCCAAAGAGGTCAGCTGAAAATGTGCACCTCCGGTTGGCCATCAGAACACAAGCGCCGGAAATGGTGATGGTGTGGGCCGCCATAACAGCCGGTGGTTGCTCTCCGCTCGTATTAATCAACCTCAGAATAAATTACGAATATTATTGCGAAAATATGGTGGAGGGTGTATTAAAGCCTTGGGTACGCAAACATTTTGGCCGCAGACCTTGGACATTCTAACAGGACTACCGGCACTATCGCACTCAGCACGCGCCACCCAAGAAGTTACAAAATGAGGTTCCTCATTTCATTTCCAGCGCACAATGGCCACCAAAATCTCCGGATACCAATCCGTTGGACTGGATTGTGTCTGGAGTATTTTGGAAAGCAAGGTTGGCACTAAGAAAAATACCAAAGTGTCGATCACCTCAAGCAAGTGCTTCGCCGGGAATGGGCCAAAATACCGCAGAGCAACATTCGGGCAGCGTGTGTCGGTTTCATTGGCCGTTTGAAGGCCATAATTCGTGCCAAAGGTGACCAATTCGAACAAATCTAAACTTATTCTAAAATTTGCTGCTATTTCCGACATTTTTTGCTTTTATTCAATAAAATTAAAAATTATGGTGTTTAACTTTGTTGCAGTTTTATTTATCTCACCCTGTATTTTTTCACAACTTTGATGCAATTTTATTCCTGATATATAATGGAAATAAAGATTAATTTTCTGTGGCGACTAATAGTAAAATTTGGCGTAGAATCTGTCCTCTCTTGAAATTTTCTGTCAAAGACTAATTTTTATATTACTTTCATACATCAACTTGAAAAAAAAATAAACCCAAAAAAAATTCTCTGAAAAAAGGAGAACATATTTTCGCGTTTTTGACAACATTGGTACAAGTGTTTTCTGGGTATAAAATGAAAATAAATGTTTAATTTCTTTGGTGACTTATAGTAATATTTTATGAAGAATAATTTTGCCTTTGACATCATCCTCCTAAAATAATGTTTAGTGGAAGAATATTTCATAAACTCACAGGGAGTACACCTTTAACACTAAAATGTGTATTTTTAACATTTTGGTAAGAATCGGAATTTTGATGTAGTCTGGGATAGAATTTTAAGACAAATAATTTTGTAGAATATTCTTACAACGATTCCGTTTAAAGGTAGTTTCTACAAATTTTGAAAAATAAGACCAAAATGAACCTTTTGGTGACTCGCTTGAGGTTTCTGTTACAATAAACCTTCTAATGCCATCAGTAATATATTCCAAAAATTCCAATGAATCTTAACCCGAAAATTTCGAAAAAAAATTGAAGATATAGGATCTTGCCGCCTCTATTTAAGTGACTTAACGCTATAAGCTTTCAAAACGCCGTTACATGTATCTTCTATTTATAGAACTACTTTCATTTTCTACAGTATTTTTCTTTTTGTGTTCCATGGTGTAATTTACAAGGTAGGCCACCAGAGATGCAACCAAAAATATATTTCTTTCTTATGGCAGCCTTGTGTTCTGTTCCCTGTCATCCTTGCAAATTATTGGGCCAATGACTCTATCGTTTACACGTGCTTCCCCCAAGGTATCACTCCTAAAACAATGCATTTACATTCCAATGGATTAATTATGGTACGAAACCAGTTTTCAATTTGTATAATAATAAAGGAAACAAGTATAAAAGCTGTAAGTTCGGTCGGGCCGAACTTTGAATACCCTCAACTATTTGGAACGATTTTGGAAATTTATAAAAAAAATAAAATCCGTTAAAAATTCTGTTAAAAATTTTAAAAATACCGGATGTACCCGTTATATTTGGGTCTATACGACGACAAGGACCTGCATAGGCAACTTTTGTCATAAGCCATTAAAATATAAAAATGCGAAACTTGAATAAAAAAAATTGGTGAATAATGTAGCTAAAATCATAAAAATTCCGAATATGGAGAGGTAATGTTATATGGGGACTATACGAAGACGAGGACCTGCACAGACAACTTTCTGTCACAGGATGTAGCATCCGTAACGAACTTCAAATACCAAATTTGAAACAATTCTGATGAATAATGACGCTAAAATCATCAAAATGCCGAATATCTGGAGATACCATTATTTGGAAGGCTATACGAAGACGTGGACCTGCACAGACAATTTTCTGTCATAGGCTGTAGTACCCTTTACGAACTTCAAATACCAAATTTAAAACAATTCCGATGAATAATGTCGCTAAAATCATAAAAATACCGAATATCGGGAGGTACCGTTATATGGGGGCTATACGAAGACGTGGACCTACATCACCAATTTTCAATACCAAAAGTTCTGCAGACATAATACACATTTGAGTAAGATTTTATCAACCTACTTTATTTCGTTCGGAAGATAAAGTGATTTCCACAGATGGACGGACATCGCCAAATCGACATAGAATTGTTTGCTGATGGGGGGTCCAAAATTTATATTTCGAGGTGTTACAAATGGATTGATAAACTTAATATACCCTCCATACTATGAAGGAGGATATAAAAATAATTAAAAATTATTTGCAATTTTGTTATTTTATATTGTTTAAAAAAATATGTACTCATTTATAAACAAACATCTAAGCCCGAATTCCCAACAGTCTAACAAGATTTCAACAGCACAACGGATTAATACTTTCTAATCAATATTTTTTTAATTGTCTGTAGTATTTTTTAAAAAAAAATCTATAATAAATTCGTTTAAATAAATTGATAATATGGAAATTTCAATACAATTGTGTAGTATTCTTGTTGCCCTTATATGGCTCGGATCATTGGAGGTTAATGGGGCAAAATTCCTCGCCGAAAAACGTAAGTGTGAAATGTCACATTTTTCTGTTCTAATAAATGTTTAATTTTTATATTTTCTATTGCAGCGGCATTTTTGGATATTTGCAAGCGTTCGGATAGCGAATTTGGTAAATGTTGGGCCAAAAATCTAGAAAAGATGTTCAATGGATGGAAATCAGGTAAGTTTGCCAAAAAATGTATTTGCATGCCAATAATTTAAATTGGAACCAAAATTTAAAATTTTGTTTGGTAAAGATATGTTACAGTTATGGCCGTTTTTCAAAGGAGTCTCATTTTTGACTTGTTGATCGACATTCGCATTATATCATGGAAATTGGATTAAATTTGGTTACTTCCTTTTATTTGAAACTTACGAATATTTAAGATTTGAAACAATTTGTAACTCCTTTTTTATGGGAAGTCTCACCCCATCAAATTTGAAATAGATGAGGAGAAAAAAATCCAGCGGATAATGAAAGCAGAGTTAAACATAGAAGACACGTGCATCAATGTTTTGAAAGTTTGCATCGCAAATGTTCCTAAAAGAGGGGAAAAGATCCCCCTTCTACAAGATTTTTTTTTAAATTTTCGGCTTAAGATCGGTTTATTTTAGGCATATAGTGTCTTTTTCAATTATTACAGTGAAAATCAGTTGGTTATGAATAAGAGCTGAAAATAGAAGACACGTACAGGGTGAGATTAAAAAAAACTTCAACAAAGTCAAACGCCATAATTTTTACATTCTGTTTTAAATTTTATTGAATGAAAGCAAAAAATGTCGGAAATATAATCAAATTTTAGAATAAATTTCGATTTGTTCGAATTGGTCACTTTTGACACGAATTATGGCCTTCAAACGGCCAATGAAACCGTCACACACTGCCCGAATGTTGCTCTGCGGTATTTTGGTCCATTCCCAGCGAAGCGCTTGCTTGAGGTGATCAACACTTTGGTATTTTTTAGTGCCAACCTTGCTTTTCAAAGTACTCCAGACACAATAGTCCAACGGAGATTGGAAATGGAAATGAAGCGAACCTCATTTTGTAACCATTCATTCACACTCAGGATGGTGCTGAGTCCTGTTGGAATGTCCAAGGTCTGCGGCCAAAATGTTTACGTGCTCAAGGCTTTAATACACCCTCCGGAATATTTTCGCGATAATATTCGGCATTTATTCTGATGCCACGGTCGATTAATACGAGCGGAGATCGACCATCGGCTGTTATGGCGGCCCACACCATCACCATGGCCGGCTCTTAAGTTCTGGTGGCCAACCGAAGATGCACATTTTCAGCTAAACTTTTTGGCAAGTAAACACTGCTGGACAACGAATGTTTTCTCATCGGAGAAAACCAAATTCGGCAGTTCACCACTTTCCAAGTCGGCCAAGCGAAGCAACTCTTTAGCTCTTTTGAGTCTATTTTCTTTCTGTTGCGGTCTAAGTTCTTGCACTTTTTGCAATTCAATGGCTTCACCCCGAGCTCATTTTCAATATTTGTCGAATGGAATATTGCGATATGTTCAGCTCACGAGCCATTTTTCGGCCACTGCGACGCGGGTTTCGATCAAGTCGCTTTTTTATTTTTCGAACCATTTCTGCTGATGTTGCTGTTTTCTTCTGTCCACTTCCTTGACGTCGGGCTACGCTACCAGTATAACGGCAACAAGCGATGGTACGAGACACAAAAGATTTATTCACATTTAAATGCTGGAGTGCTCTAACGATAGCCACTTGTTGGTTTCCAGCGAAAAATAAAGAAATCTCGCTTGAGTTCCATCACGAATAACTTTTTTCTGGAAAATTCTCACCAAAATGCTTTTGTACGTTTGTAAACAATATAATGAGCTGTCACTGGAATAATTTTAACAGCTGTCGAACGAGTGGCTTAGACATGATGGCAGTCTGAAGATGGTTGCAGTTTTTTCATCTCACCCTGTATTTATTACTTTTATCAGTTCCCTTGTTTTTTTGTCTTGGATATTCTCCCCAGTAGGTATACCATATCTTGCCCCTTGATAAACGTTACATTTTTTCTCCACCTTGTTTTTATAAAAACAACAATAATGGAATTAAGCCGAACTATTTTGCAAACAATAAAATACTACGGTATCCCGAACAAACATACCAACACTGTTCTACTTTTTATTTATTTTTTATTTAAAGGTGTCCCTGGTCTTAAATCAATTGGTTCATTAGATCCCCTACATGTAAAACGTGCCAAGATCACCCAAGGTGCCGAAGGTAGTCCAATTTCGATGAACATGGAATTGGTAAATGCTGAACTATCCGGCCTGGGTGGAACCATTATAGATGATGCTGGGTAAAAAAAGCAAACTTTATATTATAATATATTAATGTAAATAATAATAATAACATTTAAATTTATTTAAATTTTGATAGATCTAATGGCAATAGTTTGGAAATGAAATTAAGAGTTACCGTACCTTCGTTCAAATTGACCGGAGATTACACAATGCATGGCAATATTTTAAGCTTGGCCCTGAACAGCAAGGGCAAGGCTCTTATGATATTTGGTAAGCAAATGTTCGGAGTTAAAAAAAATGATCAGTGAAATTCAATTAACTAAAATATATATGTTGAGATCTTCTAAAGATACCCAATATTTAGTTTAAAAATTGCTTGAATTTATGAAAATTATTATTTTTTTAAAAATCCTTTTGAGATCGCATGAACTTATTAAATAATATTATTTCTTAATCATTTTTTCTGTATTCTTTCTTTGATTTCTAGAAAAAGCCACCTTTACACTCAATTTCCGCCTGAAATTACGTGAAGATGGCGCCCAATCGTTTGCCGATGTGGAAAAACTAGATTTGTTGTGGGAAGATAACGGTGGCATGCAATTCCATTTGAGTAATTTATTCAACGGCGACAAGGCGTTGGAGGACAGTGCCCATGCCCTGCTAAATGCAAATTGGCGTGCAATTTTTGAAGTTCTTCGCCCAGCTTTGAGTCAAACTAATAAAATTGTTGTAAAAGACATTTTAAGTAAAATAATGGCCTATGTACCGGTACACTATTATTTGGAATAATAAAAATTACGGAAAATGTGTATGTATGTAATTTTATGAGAAGAAAATGAGTTTGGGGAATAGGGACATCAAACATTGGGCAACACAAAAAATTTTCAAGAGATTATGAAATTAGATCTAAGAAGAGAAAATACGTGTATCGGTCTATTGAAAGTTTAGATGGAAAATTAAAAGAGGGGAAAAGTTCTTCCCTTTCCACAAATTTTCAGATCAATATTCCTTGAAATCCTTGCATTTAAGGCATATCGCAGCCTCGATAATATTGCTGATAATAATATGAGTATTATTCTGATAAAACATATTAACCATCAAGCGAGTCGCCAAAGGTGTCTTTTTGATTAATTTCTCGAAAAATCGTTAAAATCTCCTTTTATACGAGATCCTAGGAAGTCATAATATTCTACAAAATTGTTGGTCATGAAATATAGGTGTCAGAATATATCAAAAATCTAAAACTTTCCTAAAAGCCAATATTCCATAAATAAAAACACATTTAAGGGTTAAAGTCGTAATTCATATGGGCTTGTGTGAAATTCTCCCACAAAACATCATTTTAGAAGGATGACGGCAAAGACGAAAATATTCTTCATCATATTTCACTATAAGTCACCAAAGACCAAGTTAGAAAATATAAGTCGGTTTTGCCGACAGATGTATACCCTCAGCCAATATTTGATTAGTTAAATATATTTTGACTTCTGCTATGATTATTCAAATTGTTGACCCTCTATGGAGTAGGTTCCGAAGGAATGGGCCAATATTGTCCATTTTGAATCGGACTTAAATAAATATGATATAAATATTGCGACGTGCCAGGTTTGGACTATATCGACTACTTCCTTCACTTTATATGAGATATGTGATAATTTTTAGAAAATGTTAAAATGTAGCCGATCTACGTATTCCATTGTTATACTTCATCTAATACAGATAAAGATATGGTATGGGCGAAATTAAAAGAAAATCGAACATTTATATCCAGGTTTCTGGTTGAGAGACATATTTTTAGATATAGCAAGGTGTAAAGAATCGCTGAGTTGTTTCGCAAGTTATGATAGATAAAAATATTGAAAATTGTACCCTTGTTGTGGGTGAGGTAGCAGAAGGGTTCGCAGATATATATCATTTTCACAACATTTGTGTGAAATTAGCGTTTTGAGCGTTTTGTTTTTCAAAATCTTGAAACCTATGTGGGCCAGGTAGCAAAAGAAATGGTCCGATATCTACCATCTTTATAACACATCTTGTGTTGATGGAAATATTGAGATGTACCAAGTCTGGAATGGAATCGGATTTTGATCGCTTTTTATGAGCTCCATGGATATTTAAAATTTTGAGCCTTTGTGAAGGAGGTACCAGAAGGAGAGGACCGCTATATTCCGCCTCAATGCCAGATCTTGGGTTCATAAAAATATTTAGATGTGTGTAATTTCAAGAGAACCGGAAGCTTACTTCGGATTTTATGATCATTTTGGTTATTTAAAACTTTGACCCATTGTGGGAGAGGTACCCAAAGGAATGGTCCGATCTCTATCACCTTTATTACAAATCTTGGGTCGATGGAAATATTGAGATGTGCCAAGTCTGAATGGAATCGGATGTTAATTTCGCGTTTTATGAGCTGCATGGATATTCAAAATTTTGGCCCTTTTTGGTTGAGGTACCAGAAGAAGTAGACCGATATATTCCATTCCATATATATTCATAAAAATGTTCTGATGTGTGTAATTTGAAGACAATCGAACTCTTACATCACATTTTATAAAAGTTAGAATTATTCACAATTTTGACGCTTTGTGGGGGAGGTACTTGATTGAGTGGACCGATATTGTTCATTTTTGTACCTAACCTAGCACCGATGCAAATATTAAGATTTGCAAAGTTGGAGCAAAATCGGATTATCCTCTATCTTTCTGTGCAGAAAATATTATTATTATTTCTTTTTGAAATGTCGACCTTTTGTGGGTGAAGTACCAGAAGGAGTGAACCAATATATTCCGTCTTCACACCAGACTTAAGGTTAATATAAATATTGGGATGTATGTAATTTGAAGACAATAGGACTCTTACATAACATTTTATAAGAGTTATAATTATTGAAAATGTTGTGGGAGGTACTTGATGGAGTGGACCGATATTGTCCATTTTCGTACCTGACCTAGCACTGATGCAAATATTGGGATTTGAAAAGTTGGAGCAACATCGGATTTTCCTTTCTCTTTCTTTCTTTGGAAATTTCGACCTTCCTTGGGGGACCTAATAGAAGGATTGAATCGATATTGCCCATCTCCGAACTCGATCTAAGTTTGACAATAATAATACGATATACCAAATTTGGATCAAATCGGATACTCCCTTCGAGAGTTATTCTGCGCACCAGCCAGACAGACAGACGGACGGACGGACATCGCTAGATCGACTCCAAATATCCTGAAACGGATTTTGTCCAAAGATACATAGGGTCTAAAGCCGTTATTTCGATGAGGCACGTTTGGCCGTATCAGAATAAATGTCGAATATTATCGCGAAAATATTCTGGAGGGTGTATTAAAACCTTGGGCATGGAAACATTTTGGCCGCAGACCTTGGACATTCCAAAAGGATTCAGCACCATTGCACTCAGTACGCGCTACCCAAGAATGGTTAGAACACGAGGTTCGTTCCTCATTTCATTTCCAGCGTACAATGGCCCCCAAAAATTCCGGATACCAATCCGTTGGACTATTGTGTCTGGAGTATTTTGGAAAGCAAGGTTGGCACTAAACAATACCAAAGTGTCCATTACCTCTAGCAAGCGCTTCGCCGGAAATGAGCCAAATGAGAAAAGGAGATACCGCAGAGCAAAATTCGGGCAGCGTGTGACGGTTTCATTGGCCGCTTGAAGGCAATGATTCGTGTCAAAGGTGACCAATTCGAACAAATCTAAACTTATAAAATCTGATGCTATTTTTGGCATTTTTTGCTTTCATTCAATAAAATTAAAAAAAGTAAAAATTATGGCGTTTGACTTTGTTACAGTTTTTTATCTCACCCTGTAGACGCATTGGACGACAACATTGAAGCATATTTTCGTTGAATATCGGCCCCAAAGTGTTGGAAAGAGTGGTTCCAATCGAGGTCAACATTTCCATAAATTAATCTTCAAACATGTTACAATTGTTTTACATAAAATCAGAAGTATCCTCCATTTCGAATGCTGTGCCTAAAGAAATTTTTGGAACTAGAAACAAAATATTCTCCAATATTTTTTTTCCACATTCTAATCAATTAATCTCTTCTAGTGGTATAGGACGCTTTTAATGCATCCAATTATTCAATCAAAAAATGTACTAATTGCAAGGGCAATAACTTCCCCCCACACACGTGCATTGAATTGGCTTAAAAGAACGTAGAATAATTTCTTCCAATATTGCATATTTATATAGTCTATTAATGTCTCAATAGAATACCGGTTGAATTTGAATCAATCCATTGGCGTAGATGAGGTACTAAGGCACGTATGGTTGGTTGTGCATTGTGTGCAAACAGCTTGCAAATATTTTCAGATCCAGTATTGTAAATAATTTCCAACAACCTATTCGGAAATATTTCTTTACTCCCATTAATAAGTTTTTGCCCCGCTAATGTATTTCATTATAGAAACAAAGATTTTTTCAGTATCGTTTATCATACGATGCATTTATAAGCCCACCGCTTGGCCAGCTTTTTTGCAGTCTTCTAACATCTTCTAACATTCCGATAGATAACAATTTATTTTAATTTTTCAATTTTAAAAATGAAAATCATTGTGGGACTGTTTTCTATCACTGTTCTGATTTGGAACCTTGTTACCCTCACAGCGGCAGCAAAAGTCCTCACAGAAAAACGTAAGCCAACTCTGCTCTTGAATTTGAAGTAGAAATTTTGTAATTGCTTTTGTTTTGTAGCTGCATTTCTTACAGCCTGCAAGAGATCTGATCCTGCGTTCGGAAAGCGTTTTGCTACAAATCTTCAAAAGTGTTTGCACGAATGGAAATCAGGTAAGGAAGAACACAATTTCTTAACTTCCAAATGACCTTATCAGGGATATATCACGATCAGGGATATATCAAACATCTTATTTTTATACCCTACACCACAAGGTGGTCATGGTATTATGTCTTTGTGCATTTGTTTGTAACAGGCAAAAGGAAACGAGATAGACCCATAGTTCCTTTTGATGATCTGCATAGAATCACATTCAGATGAAATTTTGCACAGGTCATTTGTTTGGCCCAAGGACGAACCCTATTAAAATTGGAGATAATCGGTCAAAATTTAGATATAGCTCCCATATATATCTTCGTCCGATTTGCTTTTTATTGTGCACGAAACGTGTAATATCAGTCCGAATAGTATGGAATTTTGCACGAACGATCAGATTGGACCTGAAAATAAGTATGCCAAATTTGATCGCAATCGACTCAGATGTAGCTATAACTCCCATATATATTGTTCATCCGATTTGTTATTTTAGTCCTCCGCAGCCGTAATATGCACTCTGTAACATCAATATTTGGGGAAATCTATCAAATACAGCCCAAAAATACGTTTGCTAATTTTTTTCGAGATCGGTTCAGATTTGGATATATCTCCCATATATAATTTCGTCCGATTTACCTTTTATTGTGCACCAAACGTCTAATATTTGTCCAAATGGGATGAAATTTGGCGCTTACGACCAAATTTAGTCTAGAAGCTAGTATGTCAAATTTGATGAAGATCTGTTCAGATATAGCTGTAGCTCCCATATATACCCACAGCCGTAATATGCACTCCGTAACAACGATATTCAGGGAAATATTTCAAATACAGCTCAGAAATATCTTTGCCAAATTTTATGGAGATGGGTTCCGATTTGGATATAGCTCCCATATATATTTTTATCCGATTTCAAATTAATTGTGCACCAAATGGGCAATACAAGTCCGAATTTAAAAGATACAAATGTTTCGGCATATTTAGTCCCTTGAACTTTAAACTATAATGCCATTGTCGGGCATTTAACCAAAG